CGGACCTGGAGGCTTGCCTTTTCACTTTTCCTCTCTCTGTGTGTCTCTCTCTGGTTGAATTAAAAGAATAAGTAAAACTAACTAAATAATTACTATTTTTTTAAAAGTAGGTTGTCAAAAAAAAAAAAAAGTAAAGGAAATGGTAGGTCAGTCCAACTGTAAAATCTAAGGACTGTGCTGGCCTGGGGTCCTAATGACAATTCCCACAACCTAATGACATTCTGACCCAATCAAATGTCCCCACTACACAGTCTCTAACGTGCTCCTTCCCCCACGAGCTGCCTCCCTTTGTTTTGTCTCTCTCTGGTTGAATTAAAAGAATAAGTAAAACTAACTAAATAATTACTATTTTTTAAAAAGTAGGTTGTCTTAAAAAAAAAAATTAAAGGAAATGGTAGGTCAGTCCAACTGTAAAATCTAAGGACTGTGCTGGCCTGGGGTCCTAATGACAATTCCCACAACCTAATGACATTCTGACCCAATCAAATGTCCCCACTACACAGTCTCTAACGTGCTCCTTCCCCCACGAGCTGCCTCCCTTTGTTTTCATACAGTTCTGGATGTAAAGCCACTGAGCCTCACCTGGTGCCCTAGCACTGGTATTCCTGCTTCCTAATTACACTGTAGTTCCTCACAGCTAGCTGAGTCTCTAGTGGCCCTCTCTCCCCACAAAGTGGCTCCAAGTGTCTATAGACATTAATGCCCTGGAACAAATGCTCCTGACTTCTGATGGCCAACCCACCTCTCAGGTGCCAGCAGTACATTCTGTTTGAAGTCTTCTGAGACAAGGGCTACATTCTCAGATGTAGAAGGCAGTCTCCCCTCCTGGTGAACAGAATTCCGAGAAAGGGGTCAGGTTTCACTTAGGGGTTCTCAGCCTTAGTATTACCAACATTTTGGCCAGCTAATTCTTTGTCATGGGGGCTGTTCTGTGCACTGTAGGGTGTTGAGCGGCAGCCCTAGAACCCAGTAATACCCTTTAAGTTGTAAAAGCAAAGTAAGTCTAAGAAGAGAAGGGGATCAAGACAGCTATGAAGGAATGGCAGGCTCTCTTATGCTGTATGCAATCTTTTGTCAACAGAAGAATTTTCAGTTGTTTCCTGTGAGAAGCCGCTCTGTATCTTTTATCAACATATTTCTGTGTTGTTAATCGTGGGTCTCCTTACACAAAGAGCCCACATCAGTCTTTTCACTGCAGCCCTAATGAATGTTTCTTTGGCAAACAGAAAACGGAACGACAACATTCCATGTTATTGTGGGGGCTGGGGTTGCTCACACATTACCAAGGATGGATAAATGACCAGAGAGTATCTGACCTTCGGAAGTACAATTTGGCAATGTGTACTAAAACTTTCATGACATAAATGCATGCTCTGGACCCACAAATTATATTTTATCACAACTGAATAAAAGGGGGAGATATGATGTAGAAGTATTATTTTAAATAATAAAAATTAGAAACAAAATCTTGAACAACAGGGAACTGATTAAAGAAATTATTGCTCAGTCATATAATAGACTGTCATATATTTGACATATATTTGAAAGATTTTTAAAATGTATTAAGTAACCAGACCCAAGAAATACAAAGGACCCCTAACAGAATCCACCTAAGATCTTCTCCAAAGCACATCATAGCCAGATTGACAAAATCCAGAGACAAAGATAAGATAATAAAATTGGCAAGAGAGAAACGTTAGGTTACTTACAAAGGTTATCCCATCAGGCTAACATCAGACCTCTCATCGGAAACAATGCGAGCAAGGAAAGAATAGGAAAATACATTCAAAGTGTTAAGTGAAAAACGGTTTCAACCAAGAATACTATACCTGGCAAGATCATCCTTCATATTGGAAAGAAAGGATAAAAACATTCTCAGATAAAGAAGACCTGAAAGAATTTGCCAATACCAGACCCTCTCTTCAAGAAGTTCTGAAAGGAGTGCTCGACCAGGAAAAGACACACTACAGAAATAAGAGAACAGAAAACAACCAAGAAAATGAATGGAAGGATCGGACCACAGTAATGCTGCAAATTCAACAGAAGAGAGGTTGAACATAAGATTGAACTGGTCAAATAGAATTTTATGATTTATGATGAGTAAAACATCACTGATTTTTAATTTTTAACTATGCTTTATTTTTTCAATTTCAGGATTTTGCTTTCTTCTGAGCTGCTGATAGGTTCAGCAATTTGTTAAAATATTTTTTCTTCTTGTTTGTTTGTTTCTTTAAATGGAAACATAAACTTTCCTTCCTTCATGACCCCTCTGGAATTAGAAAATATTTGGCAGTATTCTTATTTTTTGTGGCTGAAGGGTTATTTGCATAAGTTCAATAATAACCGTTGCATTGAATCAGAAATTGGAAATACTCATTATTAGACAGGGCTTTGAATGAGATGTCATATCTGAAGAATAACCAGAAAACGATGGAACTAAGGTAGATCTCAAGTAAGCCAACAGAATCTCTTGGGAAGATGGCCTGGCACTATAAACAGTTCTGCCTGGCAGAGAGGATTAGAGAAGCAATATGAGAGAATTTGTACCATAAAATAACCTGGACTTTTCCAGCTTAGCATTGTAATCAGTAGAGACTGCAAAAGAGCAACCACACAACCAGAGGATTATCTTGAGGAAGACTTTGAAGGAAGGGAGAGAGACTGATCTTTGCTAGCAGATAGTATATCACAAAATACTTGGTAGGCAGGGTTGAATTGAGAAGGCTTACGTGTGACTTGTGTGCTGGCTGTTAGCTTTTCAACAGTTTGAATAGTTGGCATGTAAATATTTTCTCAAAAATAGTTAAAACCATATTATATATGTTGTTATAATAGAGTCACGAACAAAACTAAAACAAATATTTTGAACATTATCTTTACAATTCAGTTTTTTGAAATTTTGAAAGTTATTTATTAACTGTCAAGAACTATGGAGTATGAGCAAAATTTTTTGATATGTAAAGTAAATGTGGGAAAAAATCTAAAAATAAATAAATAAATGATAAAAAAATGTATTAAGTTAAAAAAAAAAAGTGACAGGGGCCAGCAGGTGGCATAGTGGTTAAGGCCCTAGCCTCTCACATGGCTGACTGCAATGCGAGCCCTGGACTCAGAGGCTTGATACACACCGGGTGCATGTGTGTGCGTGCCCAAAATCCTGAGAGGAGATTGCAGTGTAGCCATCCTTACGGTGGGTGATTTCTCATTCACTCTCTCTCTCTCTGGTGAACGCACATGCCCTATAGCAAAAACCCCTTTTTAAAAAAAGTTACAAAATAAAGAGAATCTTAAAAAATCAAAATCTCTCACAACTTATAAATGATTTCAATAAAGTTACTAAATATAAGATAAAAAAAGTTACAAAATAATGTATGTATACGTATAGAAAAGACTAGGATAGATATTAAGAATTAATCATATCTTTGGATGAAAGAATCATGTATGATTCTTATGTTTTTTTCTTTCTTAACTTTCCCCCCTTAAAATAGATGTGGAATCCTTGCAAAATATGAAAATAAAGAGCTAATAATGAGTACTGCTAATTGCAAGGTCCACGATAGCACAGCTTTCTACTGAAAGAATGGCAGACCGGCTTCTCTTTGTTCTGTTCTGAGATTGCTAAACAGGAGCCAAGGCAGAATCCACGAAAGGGGCCATTCGGCCATCAAAGTGGGGCAGGAGTTAGAGACACTAGAGCTTCTCAGTCTTAGCAGCTGTGTGGATTGCTATTGTTTTGGACATCTACTTTTCTTCTCTTGTATTGATACATGTGAAGTCTTATTTGACTGACTACTGAATCTCTATATTTTGAACTCCCTATTCTTTATTTTATTTATTTATTTATTTTGGAGCGGTTTTTTTTTTTTGCTATAGTCAGAAAGACAGAGAGACAAAAAGCGAGAAATCATCCCCCTCCGGGGGGGTGGGGAATGGCCATGCCATAATCCCTTCTCCTCCATTCTCCTCTCAGAATCTTGGGCATGCACGCACATGCATCCAGTGTGAATTTAAGCCGCCGGGTCCGGGACTCAAACTGTGGTCGACTACATGGGAGTCCAGCGACACAGCCATTATACCAACAGTTGGTCCCCAAACTTCCTATTCTTGTATGAAAAGTGTTAGTGTGTGAAGAGGCTAAGTGATTGACTACACATAACTATCAAAAATACTTGGTGCAAGAGCCAGGGGGTCAGGTGGGCAATGGAAAGGAAGAGGAAACGGAGCAGAGGCTCTTCTGTATTCCTGTTCTTCCCTTACCAGGAAATGGAGACTATATTCTAATGGCCACAAGTGAAATAGCTTGGTCTCCTTTCCTATCTGCATGTGGATGCATGGACTCAATCATAAATTCTAATACAGAACAAAATGTCTGCCTAATAAAAGTAAAAAGTTTTTGGCAAAAACAATGTACAGAGACAAATAGACTTTCTTCTTTCCTCCAAACAATCTACACATGAAGAACCCTAAAGAATGTCCATCCCAGGACAGCAGGTGGCATGGTGATTAAGCTGCTGGATCCCGCATGGCCAGTTCTGTAGCTCGAAACCCGGACCCCCTGAGAAACGCGCCGAGTGTGTGTGCGTGTGAAGTACGTGCCAAAAATCCCGAGAGGAGAATGCAAGAGAAAGGGCTGTGGCTTGGTCATCCTCCTGGGAGTGATTTCTCAATTTCTGTTTCTCTGTCTCTTTCTGTCTCTCCACCAAGTGCAGTGCCCGATAACAAAAAAAAAAAAAAACAACCCAAAAAACAAAAAAAAAAAACATAAAACAAATAAACAAAAAACAAAACTCTCTTTTAACAAAAAAAGAATTTAACATTGTAAGATTGTCCTATTGAACTGATTTCACACCATCTTATTCTGGCAAAGGGCTTGTGCTTGGGCAAAAAGGGCACTTCTGACTCACTTTGTGGTGATTTTATAACCGAACTTACTTGTCCAACCCATCTATGCCCTTTGCCAACCAAACTCTCATTATCTTTTTACATAATACACACATTCATTTACTTTATCAGACATTTTATTTTTTTCATTCTAACATTTGGCTTTGATAAGTACAAAAGGTTCACAAATACAAAAGAATCTGTAGAGCTTTGTGGTAGTTAAAAATTCATGAAAACAATTTTTGAAGTTGGGTAATGCTCACCTTTCTCTATCTGAGTGACAGTCTTAAAATGTGGCTGTAAAAATGGTATAAACTATTACACTGTGATTACGTTAACATTTTTGATGACTCTTTCTCCCTTGTTTCCGGAAACCTGTCTAGTGACATGTATACTAGCTGAATCCCTTACCCGTGTTTCCCTATAGCCCAGTTCCTGCCTTTACAGGGATTCTCTGATGATACCTTGGTTTTCATAGTCAGCTTGTGATGTTCTGTCCAAAGAAAGATTCTGACAACAGCTTCAGAAGCAAGAAAATCTAAATTTAGACTTACAGCTATTGTCCTTTCTAATGTTAAAATTAAAAAAAAAAAAGCAATGCTAAAAGAGACTGTTGATTTATGAGTGTTAATTTCTCTTCTTGCAAGGATTCAATTTTCATTTTCGCATTGCAGATAAATTATATTTGATGAACTTTTTTTCCCAAAGTATTAAAAAAATATTTTGAAAAGATTAATTTTTCCGATCCATAGGATTCTGAGTAAAAATGACATATTGGAACAGGAGAAGTCTATCTTCCTATTTCTCACCTAAAAATCCTGGTGGGCATAAGAGAACTGAGATCTCTGTTTAGCAACTCTAGGTACGGTTCAAATTAAAAACGAAACAAAACTCACTTGAATCATACATAATAAAAATATCGTCAGAACACTGTAGATGTGAAGACCAAATAGACAATGAAAAGCCAAATTAGAAGCTATCTTACAGCTTAGATTTCTTTTTCCTCTGCTTAATAAGAAATAGATTATCATTGCCATCTTCTTCCAGGTATCTCTCCTTGTTCTTCTGCTTGCCCCGCTTGCCCTCTTTGGGAAGCTTGTCATCTCTTGGCTTGAGGCAATGTGATGGATGGTGAAACGGCTTGTGAGGCTTCTGGGTTTTAAAGCTGCCAGGGGTTTTTGGGCCCCTAGGAAAGTCCTCATCTTCTTCGCGATGGCCGTCAGTCTTCCTGTTCTTCCCACGTTTTCTATTCCTAGTCCCCATTTCTTTGGGGGTTTCTTTATTTTCTTGAGGCCACCTGTTGCTCTTCCATGAGGCATGGCTCTTCTTCATACCACAGTGGGGCTTCTTACCTGCCACTTCCATGTGAGGTCTCTTGAACTGCCTTGGAAAATTCCCATTTTTCTGGAGTTCTGAAAAAGAGAGAAGTATTTTTGCATACTCAGCAGCTAGACGGTACATGCAGAGCTTTCGCAGGCCTGTAAATAACCCAACAGACAGGGAAGCTAGACATTTACATGTGTTAATAATATGACACTCTAAAGAGTCCTTACTGAGGTTAAAAAAAAAAAAAAACACTCACTGCAAATTGCATGACTGTAGTTCTATATTCCTGATTTCTAAAAATCAAAAACTCAGAAACCTAGTCAGCTCAACACGGTTTAACCAGGTTAAACAACAGAGATGAGAACCAGTAAGAACAATAATCATCCGAGCTTTGTGAAAAGTCATGACTGACCAGTTCAAGTTCCTCCAGTGATAGAAGAGCTTTCCAAGATAAGGCGAAGCAAGATGTATAAAATGGCCTTTTGACAGTCTCGTGTGACATTTCAATTACTCTCTGAAGATAAAGTCTGGCCATAGAACTGATAGGTGATGCCAAACTGCCCAGGGGATTATTCCTTCAGAGAGAGAGCACCAGCATGGGAAGTGTGTGTGTGCGCGTGTTTCTATCTTAGAGGTTTTAGTTCTAGATCTGATATTATATACTGTCAGGACTGGATACAGTTACTGTAAGTGTTTTCTGATGGAGTAGGTGAAAGATGAGGTTACAGCGAGGGACAAAAACTAACCTGTCAAGAGAACCTTGAGGGATTAAAAAAGTAGCCAATAAAAATCTTGAGCATACAGTAAAAATTCCGATGGATCATAGTGAGCCTCCGGGTAGATTTGTGCTACAGTTGTTAATACAACTTGCTGAAAAGAAAACAAATTGTGTTTCTCAAGCATGAATGTTAATGCTCATTATAGAAAACTTGGGAGAGCCAGCCAACGGCGTGATGGTTAAAGTGGATGGATCCCACATGGCCAGCTACATGGCTTGAGTCCTGGACCCGGAGGCTTAAAAAACATGGTGGGCACGTGTGCATGTATACCAAATGCAGAAAGGAAAAATGGAGGAGTAGGGATTACAGCGTGACTGTCCCCCATGAGCGGTGCTTTCTCAATTTCCTTCTCTCTCTCTCTCTCTCGCAAGTATATGCATCCTCCAGAAAATATAAAGCAAAAATAAAAACAAAACAAAACAAAAACTTGGGAAAAACAGAAATATAAAGAAAACCAAAGGCACCCATAATCCTTTAATCCACAGATGAATTTTCATGGATCTCTTTTTAATCTCTTGCTAATGGAGTTGTCCAATCATTATCTTCATGTGCTTTAATTTTTCTATAGTTGAGATAAATTTTATGTTAAAATTTATCCTTTATTTTCCTCAGAATTAGTATCTTCGTTTCAAAAAGGATCAGAACTCAGGAATGCTGAGTTGGGGAAAACTAATAAAAAGGGCTGAAGAGCGAGAAAACAATGTACAGAACAACTTGAAAAACACAGAACTGCTTTTTTCTGAAAGCAAGCTTTTTCATAATATACAGTTCCATGAACTTTCTGGAGATTCTGTCCTCCCTTGTATAAAGCAAAAAAGAACAGAAGTAGCAAAAGTAGACTTAGATGGGAAGCTACTCACTGGTGAGAAAGAACTTTACGTTAGTAACAGTCAACACGGACACCACGGAGGTGGCTATGGCCTGGCGCTCTGCTCACAATGGCAGGTACAACAAATGCCTTCTGAGGCCAGCCCGTGCCATGGTGGATAAGGCACTTGGATCCGACATGGCAGACTCTCTCCACTGGAGAAATATGCCGGGTGCAGGTGCATGCATGTTCCCAGTCCCCAAAGTGAGAAGAAATGGAGAAGAGACTGCTGCGTGACCATTCCCCACAGGGGGCGCTTTCTTACTCTCTCTCCAGTGAGTACACAGGACCTCTGACAAAATTAGAAAAGAAAAAGAAAAAGGCCTCCTCGAGGAAAACTCTACTACTCTTCTAGCAGAAAAGCCTTTCATTCCATGAAAGATACTAAAGATTACTAAGGAAAAATAATTACTTGTTAAACAGAAAAGTCTCAAAGGAACCTTTAAAAACTTTACGTACACAGATAGATAAAAGTATTTTCTGCACTGATCATTTTCTAAAGTGACAACTAAGTGAGAAAAATGTTTATTATGAATAGATTACAACACAGTATTTTTTTTATTTTTAAAGAGAGTTTTGGTTTAGGGTGTGTGCGTTCATCAGAGGGAAAAAGAGAGAGAGAGAGAGAGAGAGAGAGAGACAGACAGAGCGGGAGTGAGACAGACAGAAAGTGAGAAATTACCCCCAAGGGGGATGGCCATGCTGCAATCCCTAATCCTCCATTTTCCTCCTGGGATCTTGGGCATGCATGCACATGTGTCCAACATGATTCTGAAGCCACTGGGTCTGGGATGTGAGCCGTGGTTGGCCATGTGGCAGCCCAGCAATGAAACTACTATGCCACCTGCTGCTCTCTATAAAGAACACCTTTAATGCAGACCCAGGTGCGGTTGTGTGCACTGGATGCTGCTGTCCGGCAAGCTAAGGCCACATGGGAGGCCCAGGTTAGGTTCCTGGCCCAGCCTAAGAATAAAAGGTGCTGGATCTGCCCATGGCTCAGCTTCTTGGGATGCTGAGGCAGGAGAAGCGCTGCATTACATGGCTCTGCCTTAAAAATAAAAAATAAAATAAAACAAACACATACCACACAAATAAAAATTACATATATACATATATATATATGTATATATTTATATATACACACACATATGTGTGTATATATATATATAAATAAACTAAGCTAACCACCTCTAAAGCAGGCAAAGATGGTGCAAACAAAGAAATTTAGTAACTACTTACTAAAAAGATGATCTAGCAAGAAGTGTAATAACATACCTTTTACTTTTCGTTTTATTCTTCGTTCTCTCTCCCGAATTTCGTATTTGTCATCATAGTAGTAGATGAATGGAGATGTTGGAAATGTCTGGTTAATCATCCGTCTTTCTGAACATTCCTGCAAATTGTATTTGAAATTATGATGTCATAAGTTCATGCTGTTCAGAAAACTTTTTCCAAGATGCTGGCCCATGACATACAGAGAGGAGGCCGCATCACTGGCACCCCATGCGGCTACACGATGTGGCCCTGGCCGGGCGGCCGGAGGCTCACCCAGTCCCACCCCCCACTGTGCTTACAGGCTGTTCCTTCAGGTTTGGGCTTTCTTCCCTTCTCCCCTTACTTATGGAACCCTTATGTTCTTTCAGTCTTCCCTGCCAAACTCCTCACCAGCCTGAGTAAAGCGCATTGAGGGCTTCACCCTAGCTGTACTTCCTTGCACTCCTGACAGAGGGTTTCCTGTCCTTGCTCGTCTGTCTTCTCCACCAGCCTTCCAACAAGTGCTTCTATCATCCCTTCTCCTATCCCCAAAATACAGTTAAAAATTCTTTAAAATTTTTAAAATATTATTTCATTATTATTATTTTAATAATAATAAAGAGACCAGAGAGAGAAAGGGAAAGCGAGAAAGCAAGCTGCTAGGTCTGGGACTTGAGCCGCAATCAGCCATGTGGGAGTCCAACACCTTAAACACCACCACCTGCCAGCCCCAGGTATAAATTCTTGATTCCTTGCTCTTTTTTCTAGATACAAGTGGCCTGCAAATTTACTTGAACTCAACATTCACTGCTTTCACAGTGATTCCTGCGTGGAGGAGTGGGTTGGTAGTAGTGGGTTATATATCGTTTGGAAATGTTCTTAGGCAATTTAGATACCCCAAAGGAAGTGTCTCTCTCCTTATTCCCGCCACCCTGGTGGAGATCACCACTCCCATTCGTTCTCAGTTAAAAAAGTATGAATCATTGGGGCCAGCAGATGGTGTGGTGGTTAAGGTCCAGCACCTTAAGGCTGATCACAGTTCGAATCCCAAACTTGAAAATCAAGCCAGGTGCATGTATGTGTGTGCCCAAAATCCCAGGAGGAGAATGGAGAAGGGACTGTACTACGGCCATCCTCCCGGGGGTAATTTCTCACTTCCCCTTTCTCTCTCTGGTGAGCACATGCACCCTATGGCAAATACCTTAAAGAAAAATTGCAAATCATTCTAAATACACACTTAAGTATGGAAAATAAAGTAATGAAAATCTATGGTTACCACTTACATCAAATCATAACATTTCACTTTAACTAACTTCTATTTTTTCCTCCAAGATTAAAATTGTACTGATCTAATTCCACCCCATTTCTCAGTCACCTTTTTCCCTTTCAGAAGTTACCATTGACAAAGTTAGTGTCCAGCATTCTTATAGTTTATTTTTAAAGAATTATTTATCATCATCATCATCATTTTTTTTTTTGGTGGGAGAGGTTTTTGCTATAGGGTGTGTGTGCTCGCCAGAAAGACAGAGACAGAGAGACAGAAAGTGAGAAATCACCCCCCCAGGGGGATGGCTACACTGCAATCCCTTCTCCTCCATTCACCTCTCAGGATCTTGGGCACGCACGCACGCACATGTGTCTGGTGTTGAGTTTAAGCTACTGGGTCTGGGAGTTGATCCGTGGTCAACTACATGGGATTCCAGTGACAGCCATTATGCCAACCAACTGCTGGTCACATCATCATCTCATTATTATTTAATTTGCTATAGGGAATGTGTCCATGTGTGAGAGAGCGAGAGTGGGAAAGCTAGCTGCCAGGTCTAGGACTTGAACCATGGTCCACCATGTGGGAGTCCAGCACCTTAACCACCATGCCACCTGCTGGCCCCTGCCATTCTCATGTTTTCATACTCTAACTACTAAGGACTATTCCAATAAACAACAAATTTGAAGTTTTCAGACTTTATAAAAATGGTATCATTCTGTAAACATTTTGAAATGGTTTGGGGTTATAATAGCTTCAAAAAAAGTTGAGTAGTATTCTCTTGGATTATCCATTTCTGAATAAAGGGTATGGTAAAACTTGCATAGAAAACCACCTGAATCCAGGTCCTGCCATGGGATCGTGTACTGGTAGACACTACTACCCGGCAGACTAAGGCCAGGTATGAGGCCTGGTTCAAATTCCGGTTCACCCTAAAGGCTAGGCATGTTGGCACATGAGTGCCTGCAGTCCAAGAGAGTGACCTAGGAAGTTGAGGCAGGAGATCATGACACACAGAGATCTTGCTTAAAAAAGAAAAGAAAAATGAAAAAACCACCTAAGTCTAGTATGGTTAGTGGGGAGATTGTGTTCATTCACCTTTAATGACATCAGTTCAAGTAGGTTTGTTCTTTTTGAATCAGATTAATTTGTATTTTCCTAAAGAGTTATGTGTTTCTATTTTCAGACTTAATTTATAAAGTATTCTCTTAAAATTAAGGAAATTATACAGTATTTTAAGGTATTTATACTGTTCACTAATTGTTTATTTGTACCTTTTCTTAGAGTAGATTTTCCAAAAGTCTTTTTTTTTTTTGACAATTGTTTTCAAAGAACCAGCTTTGATTTTTGTTGATACTATTTAGTTTTCTATTTCAATAATTTAAAATTTATTTTTATTATTTCCTTTCAATGTACCCTTTTGTGACTTTCTGGATCATTTTAGGCTCTGTTGGGCCCTGAAATTTTAAGATAAACCTACATATTAACATAAAGAAATGCTTTATAAACCACTATCTATGGTGGCTCCAATTCCCATTCCCAGGAAAAAGAATCCATTTCAGACTTTGGTAGTTTGGGACTAGTGGATAGAGTAGCAGTTACGTTGCTGGGCTGGGTTTCCACATAGCCCACTGCAATGTGAGTCCCTGACCCAGTGGCTTCAAACTCATGCTGGGCACGTGTGCATGTCTTCTCCAGATCCTGGAAGGAAAATGGAGAAGGGATTGCAGTGTGGCCATCCCCCTTGGGGGGTAATTTCTCACCTTCCTCTCACTGTCTCTGTTTCTGTCTCTCCCCCTGGCTTGCACTTTCTGGTAAAGTAAAACAAAACAAAGGAAACAGACTTGGGTCTAGGATTCTAATCATAACGAAAATGAAAGACAATTAATCAGAAAGAACACAGGAAAGCACAAAACCCAATGGTATAAGCGATATAGGCTCATAGTCTGGTACGATAGTGCTGATGTGTAACTAGTATATTCTCTAATCACAAAATAATGAGATCAAATCATGATAACAAAAGGTACTAGAAATATTGATATACTCAAACAAAACCCATTTCAACACAACGTTTTTGCTCCCAGTGCCTGCCAACCCTTCCACACTCTTCTGAACTACCGCTATCCCTGCCTCCCCAGCTGCACAGTGAATGAATGAGGGAACGTCTGTGTCATCTTCATCAGAGAGTATCTTCCACATGAAAAAGCTACCAGCAATTCTGTAGGGCTGAATTTCTAAAACTAAAGGGGATGAGTCCTCAGGTATCTTTAACCACCTGCAAAATTTGAACCCTGTGTGCTACAACTACACAGAGCTATACTGTAGCACAAATGTTTTCCAAAGTTAAATGTAAATTATATTTTGATTATCCACATCGCTGGTCTGCTCCATTAGCACAGACAATTGGTAGTTGGCTATATAATTTATCTACTATTCTGGATTAGCCACACCACTGATCTTCTTCATTAATGTGGATAATCTAGAGTTCTTCATCTATGGCAGTGAGGAGGCTGCCAAATTTGCTTTATTGAAAATTTAAAATTATCTAAATCTAGATTTCAGGGATAAATTCCAAATGCTTTTAATATATTTCCTATCTACGTTAACAGGAGTGACTAGTAGGTAGTAAGCATCCAACTATAATTGTTTTAATTAAATAAACATCAGTGTGAAAATTATACCCTTTTGCTCTGCCTAAAGAGGTATGCAGACATAATTTGTTACATCTATGTGATCTGTGTGGGTGTGGACTAAGTGGTGTGCTTCCTAAAAGGTGTTGGCAACATCTGAATGTTGATATGACAAGGAATGCACAGAGCAGTAAAAGATCCAGAGATGATAATTCCACTAAAAGAGGTCTTCTAGTTTCATTTGGTTTTCAATTGGAGTTCTGTGAAAGTGAAGAAAGTATACTGCAGGATCTTTCCAACTGTATCACCATACTACAGAGTTGGTCACACTGCAAATGGCATCCAGTGATCAGTTCTGAGAGATCTCCTTGCTATGGGGAGAAAGAAACTAGGGACCAGAGAGAAAAAGTGGGTTGGTCAAGTCACATGGTTAAGATGGTAGCAGAGGGGTCGGCAGGTGGTGTGGTGGTTAAGGTGGCTGGACTTCTACATGGCTGACCGTGGTTCGGATCCTGGACCTGGCAGCTTGCTTTCTCACTTCCCTTCTCTCTCTCTCTCTCATCAACTTCAATAAATAAATAAAATTTAAAAAATGACAATGTATAAAATTAAATAATTATATATATATATAAAGACAGAGGTAGAGTAAAAATTAGAACTGAGGACAGAGCCTTATCCTAGCTTTCACATTCTACCCCTTACGCCTATGGCTCCTGCTACCCCTATATGAAAGAAAATTTTAAAAAATTTTAAAAATTCAGCCATTTGTGTGTATGAAAGTGGTATCTATTTATTCTCTAATTTACATTTTCTTCATGACTAATGATATCCAGTATCTTTATGTGCTTACTGGCTATTCGTATAACTTCTGTAGTAAAGTATATGGTCTTTGTTTTTGCCCATTTTTGAGTAGGGGAGTTTGACTTCCTTTTTTGTTGTTGTTAATTAAGATTTCTGCCATAGGGTGTGTGTGCTTGCAGGAGAGAGACAGAGAAAGACAGAGATAGGGGAAGTGAGAAATCACCCTCCCAGGGGTTGGCCATGCTGCAATCTCTTCTCCAATTTTCCCCTTGGGATTTTTGGGCATGAACACATGTATGTGTGATTCTGAAGCTTCTGGGTTCAGGGCTCGAACTGCGGTCAACCATATGAGAGTCTAGCACCTTAACCACCATGCAACCTCTTGGCCCCTAGAAGTTCCTTTTTTTATTCTGCAGATTTGTGGAACTCTATGTTTGTACAGCTTTGTCTTCTTCTGCAAATTTTAGTTGCATCGATCACCCTAAACTTCCCCTTTGTCCTCCTCAACTCAATGAGCTTGATAGGCTGCTTGGATGCTACCTCTTTGCATGGTGGTCCAGAAGTTGTTCCCAGAAAGCCTGGATGGTGGTAGACCCCACGTCATTTGTTCTTCTTCTAAAAGAAGGTATTCCTGCTCTGCCTATCGTTTAATGTCTGAAAGTTGTTTTCCACATTTTCTTCTTCTTTTTTTTTTTTTGTTGTTGTTGTTCACGGTGAGAGAGTTAATTGGAATCTGCTAGTCCCTGAGGACTGGAGCTTTTTCTTTTCTTTTTTCATGTTTTTAAAAACAACAATGCTCCTTGTGTAATTGAAAATGGACTTTCTTCCTTCTTAAAGGGAGATGCTTGGGAATGGATGGAGGGAGAAATCTCCATTCTTTTGAATTCTTATTTCCTTGTGGAATAAGGAGTGGGTTATTTGATTGGCGATTGAGTTGAGGAAAGAACTCCATATGAGAGCAGGCAGAACAAGACACAGAACTCACACAAGGCCAGAAATAGTTTATGTTCTCGTGAGCTACAGTGAAAACAAAAACAAAAACAAAAACAAAAACAAAAAACACTTCATAGTACTCAGGACATTGGATAGAGAACTTAGAAAAAGTGCTTTAGTAGTGAAGAAGGATTAGCAGCTTCCTTGCTCATACTTAACAAGGCAGAAAAATAATTCAAAGTGAAAACTATAGACTCCAGATCCAAGAAGGTAAATGAACTCTGATACAATAAATATGATGGGGACTGGGTGTTTTGGGGACCAGCAGATGGCATAATAGTTATGTTGCTGGACTCCCATGTAGTCTACCGCGGCTCGAGTTCCAGATCCAGTGGCTTAAAACTCATGCTGGGCGCATGTGTGTGTGTGTCCAAGATCCCGAGACGAGAATGGAGGAGAAGGGATTGTGGCGTGGCCATCCCCTCTGGGGGTGATTTCTTGCTTTCTGTCTCTCTGTCTCTCTCTGTCTTCCTGGTGAGCGCATGCGCCCTATAGAAAATCAACTCTCCTAAAGAAAATAAATTGGAGAACTATCCTCTTATAGATTGTTACTCTGGTAGGGATAGGAGAAGGAAATCAGCTGAAAATATGTTAAGTTTTACTTCAGAATGTTAGTTTATAAAAAAGTAAGCATTCACGGTTAGATTCCTTTCGAGTTCATTTTTCAGTAACCATTCATTCCCTAAGACAGACAGCTTTCTGTCCAGATGCCACTCAAACTTACGTGTCCATAATGGCCTTTCTGTGCACAGTTGTAGCAATACACTAAGGCTGATTGTCCAGAAGGGGTCTTTGGCTTTTTGGGTGGTCCAGGTTTGGTCTGTAACACAAATATTAGTGAGAATTTATTTGTTAGGAAAAAAAAAATTAAAACTGCATTCTTTCCAAGAGAGCTCTTTTTAGGTAAGAAAATCCTTAGAAATACTGTTTCTTAGAGTTCATTGTGGAGACCCACAGTCAGATGATCCTATGTACAATGTGTATAACATGATAAAAACAGCAATGCCCAATACTGTTGTGTATCTTAGTGAACAATGGCCAGGAGAACATGATAGACATGCAACGAGATAGCAACACAACAGTGTAAGGACAGTGGTAGAAATACGGACAAGCCTAAAGTAATGGCAAAGGGGACCCCACCACGGGATGGGCTGGATGGGGCAATGGAAGAGTCAGGCAACACTTCCCTGGAGGTTAAAATTCAAATTTACCCTTAGACAATGAGGGTAAGTCCATTGGAGAACCCTAAGCAAAGGAAATCAGGATGAACAACAGCACCAAACTGAAAACAAGAGCATTCAGGTTGCTAAAGAATGAAGAACACAGCCGGATGTGCAAGATGAGGCTGAAGAAAGCAGGTGAAAAATGGAGAGCTTTAGAAGTCCTGAGAAGGAGTCATGTCCAATGTTATGTATAGAAGGAGGATAGTCAAGAATGGCATGGTACCACTGTAATGCACTGCTCCAGGGAAGGATCCCACATGGTGTCCTTTTAAGTCCCTGATCTGGTTGGCCTGAAACAAGCTGGGCTCACGTGGGCTGGAGGACTGGAGGAAGGGGATCAAGACATGGCCCGACCCTGCAGAGGATGGTTGTCTGTCTCTCTCTCACTTTCATGTGCATGCTCATGATTGTGAATAAAATTAATAAAATTAATTAAAAAATCCTATTTCGGAAAACTGTTTTGGCTTGTAGCCATAAAGTTGACCAAGAGCAGAAGATGGTTAGATGTTATAAAAAAGATCAATGAAGTGGCTGGCTGTTAGAAATTCCAGCACCCCCTCAATGGGACATGGTCATGCCACAATCCCTTTTCCTCCATTTCTCCATCTGGTCAGAATTTGGGGCACAAATACAAAGATACCTGGCGTGTCTTTCAGGTTGCCAGGACCAGAATTTGAATCCAGATCAGCTACGTGGGATCCAGCTCCTTTAACCACTATACTACAGGGCTCGCCTTGTACACATATATTTTGTATATTCTTCAGTATGGACACTGCATTTCATAATAAGAAATGTTAAAAAAAAGTCTGAACAAAAGTTGAAGAAAAGGAAGGAGTTAAATATCCTCTTGAAAAAAAAGGGAAGGAGTTAAATATTCTCTTGAAAAACATGATAAAGAAGAAGCAGAATTAAGTGCAGCAATATGTTGAAGGAGAATTTGAAGAAAATTTTAAATGAAAGAGACTTGAACATGAGATATAGTAAAATTGAAAACAGGGTCAGTGGAAAGAGCAAGACCCTGGAAGAAGTAGTGACTTTCAACAGGAGGAGAAAAATCTTAGCCTTGACCCTGTACCTTTTTTTTTTTTTTTTTTTTTAAAGACTGAAAGCATAAACTTGGAGGTATTTATTTCCTGTGTTCTTTATTGGCATCTTACAATAAAGAATGCTGGTCTGCCAACTCATTTTGTTGTTTAATGTTGTAATCAGGTGGTTTGAGAGAGTTTTGTTTTCTTGATATAGAAAATTTATTAACAGGTTATAAAAATCTTTAGGGCTAGCTGGTGGTGTGGTGGGTAAGGTGGCTAGATCCCACATGGCCAACTGCATGGTTCAAGTCCTGAACCAGTGGCTTGGTAAATACACTGGGCATGTGTCCGTGCATGCCCAAATTGTTGAAAGGAGATTGTAGGAGAAGGGACTGCAGCATGGCCATTACCCACCAAAGGATAATCTCTCCCTTTCCCTTTCTCCTGGTCTCTCCCGTGAACATACATGCCCAGCAGCAAAACTAAAAAAAATTCAAACAACTTTACTTTTAGCTACTTTCCTAAAATGAAAAACGATAGCCCAAACAACCCTTTCTGCCAAAATTTATCACAAATGTTACACAAAATGGTATTTATAATCTCAGCTATTTTCAATGAGAACATAATAACAAAAGACAACCAATGAATGTCTTATATTTCCAACTGAAATGGTGGTTCATAAATTAAGACTAGCTGAAAGTCACTGAACAGCTTTAATATTACAGGTATGCAACATAAGCCATGCATTGCAGTGGTTCAAAAGTCTACTACCTGGGTCTTCAGGCTGTGGAACACTGGAAGGCATGAAATATTAAGCAGAAATTAAGAAATGATTTTTTTCACTAGAAAAGGTAGCATATTATTATTTTTAAAAAAGGATTATTTTATTTAACTTTATGTATGTATGTTCTTTTTTTCTTTTGGCTATAGGGTACGTGCACTTGCCAGAAAGACAGACATGGAGACAGAAAGCAAGAAATCACCCCGGGGGGAATGGCCATGCCACAATCCCTTCTCCTCCATTCTCCTCTCAGGATCTTGGGCACGCATGCATACGCCCCTGGCATGAGTTAAGGTCACTGGGTCCAGGACTCGGAAGTGCAGTTGACTACATGGGAGTCCAGTGACATAGCCCTTATGCCAGCTGCTGGTCCCTGTATGTACGTTATGTATTTTAATTTGACCAGAGAGGGCGGGAAAGTGAGAAAGGAAGCCAAGCCGCCAGGTCCAGGACTCACACACAGTCGACCATGTGGGAGTCCCGCGCCCTTAACCACCATGCCATTTGCTGGTCCCAATAGCAATATTATTTGATATGACGTAAAGCGGCAACCATCAGTATACATGTTTTAAGGGAAAGAAATAAAACCAAAAGAGAGAGTGTCATGGATGTGAAGGTAAAACAGATGTTTCAAGGAAGAAGTGTTAAAAGCTACTGATGAGTTACATGAGACAAAAATTATGAACCCCACTTGACTCAGCAGTCAGGAAGTTGTTGCCATGGGGGTACTGGTCACTCTTCCTGTGAAGCCCCCATTTGTATAACACCAGTGAAGTCGAGTTCTAGTGGATTTGAAACTGTTGTGAGCAGTTTCATTTGAGGGGTAGTGGCACACACTAGATTGTAATGGGCTTATTATAAAGTAGAAAGATACTGACGAACAAAACGTAGATAACTTTTTCAAGAAACTGGGCTGCGTATGGAAGAAGGAAAGGGGACAGAGAGAGCTGAGTACAAGCCCGAGGCCACCTTCGTCAGTGATGTTTACCAGAGAGATGAGCACATGGCATGAGTATATGCAAGCATCCTTCACTAATCTATCCAAAAGCCAATTCTTGGAGTGCTTAGGCATGCAGACATTGTTTGAAGATCAGGTACCTGAGAAGTGAGCAAGACAAAAAAAAAAAAAAGATAAACAAAGGCAAAGCACACACACAAGCTTGTGCGCACAGAATAAGAGGCAGTGATAAACAGCATGAAGACAATTAAACAGATTGAATGACAGTCACTGGTGGTGACTGAGATTGAGCTGCTGGAGGGAACCCTTGGTTTCCAAGAGAAAATCAGGTGTGTGATGAGTGGGGAAACGCTATTCTAGGGAGAAGGCATAAGAAGCAGGTAGTGCAAAATCCTAAGTGGGACAAGCTACCTTATTTGAGGATTTGAAGAAAAGTATCTGTAAACTTGGAAATGTAATAGGAGAGTGGGAAAAGAGGAAGTTCTATGGGACTAGCAGTTGGTGTAATGGCTGTGTTGTTGGACTCCCATGTAGTCGACGGCAGTTTGAGTCCCGGACCCGGTGGCTTAAACTCACGCCAGGCGTGTGTACGTGTGTGCCCAAGATCCCGAGAGGAGAATGGAGGAGAAGGGATTGTGGTGTGGCCATCCTCCCGGTGGGTGATTTCTCGCTTTCTGTCTCTCTGTCTCTCTGTCTTTCTGGCAAGCGCATGTGCCCTATAGCAAAAACTTCTAAAAAAAAAATAAATAAAAGAGGAGGTTCTAGAGGATATGGAGGGATGGATCACTTAGTGCATTATAAATCAGGGAAAAGCTAATGGTAGGTACTCGATAACTAGCTGGTAACTCTTAGCAGGAACTATAACTAATGATAAAAAGAATGATACCCTCTTGGGTCAGGAGCTGGTGCAGAGGTTAAGGTGGCTGGATCCCACATGGCTGATTACTTGGTTGGAGTCCTGGACCTGGCAGCTTGAAAAAGATGGTGGGCATGTGTACAAGGGTGCCCAAAATCGTGAGATGAGAATGGACTAGGATGTGGTCATCTACCTTGGGTGGTGATTTCTCCCTTTCCCTCTCTTTCTTTGGCAAGTGAATACACTCTGTAACAAAACTAAAAAATAAAAATTCACCCCCCAAGTAATAAACGCTCTTTGAAAAAAGTTATCCATGTTCATAACTTTTCTATTTATGTTTGTTTGTACAAATATGCAACACATCATTTATGTTTGAGGCAAGACTTCTGGGCTCATTAATTAGAAGAAAAATGTGCTGTGCTTATTCCATTTGAATAAGAAATTTCATTAGCTTGAATCCTATGCAGAAGGACAAGATGAACCAGGGCATAATGATGGGGAAGAGATTGGTGAGAACCAAGTTAACAGGGATACCCAGTCACTGGAACTTGACTCGACGAGCATGATATAAGTGGAGACTTTTACAAGAAGGGCCACCTGTACTCCCATGTCACTTTTGGCTTCTCCTTATAAGTACAGAACCCAAGGGAAGTCACTCTTCAGAGGCACATTCCCATCACCTTTTGCAGTGAATCACTTTTATTTAATACAGCTACTTGTTTCTCTCCTCAGTGCTCCTGATCTGTCTCCCTCCTCTATTTCTTCTTTTTAATACAGGATCTCACTGTGTCTTGATTCACTTGCCTCAGACTCTTAACTCCTGGGACCACAGTGTACACTGCCATGCCTAGAGCCTCTAGGTTGGGCTGGGAACTGAACCTGGGCCCTCCCTGTGGTCCCAGCCTGCAGAGCACAGGATCTTAGCAATGTGGGCCACTGTGACTAGGCCCATGTCTCATTTTTTTCAGCACCTG